GAAATATAGAAACTATTTCCGATTAATTTTAATAATTTTTAAGTGGTCCTTCATTTATTGGGGGGCACTGTATATACTATATATTATAAAATAAAAATAATTGGAAAAAAATCAAAACACATATTATTATTTTTTTCATTATGTTTATTTTATATTGTAATTAATAAATTATAATATAAAATAATAAATTTTTTATAAGTAATTATAATATAAAATATTATTTAATTATAATATAAAATAATAAATTTTTTATAAATAATAATAATAATTTTTTTTTTAAATAAAAAGTATTAGTAATACATAATATTTATTAAAATTATCAATTATATAATTACAAGATTCATTTAAGTTAATCCACTTTTCCACCTATAGTCTTATCCAGTTATATCAATTAACTATCCTATAGGTAGATCAATATATCAAATGAAATCTTTAGAAAATAAAAATTCTACTATTAGTTTTAAACTATCTAATTTAATCTAGATCCTAACAATTGTTATTTGGAGTATATACCTTTCAGGATTAGTTAAAATATCTGAATAATCTATTTAATATTTTTTGTCTAAGTCCTTAAAAAAGATATTATACTTTTTGTTACTATCTGTAACTTTAAAATTTTCTTTTTATCAGATCCTTTTCTTTTAAGCAAGTGTTAGATTAAAATAACCTCAAATTAGAGTATTTTTTATACTATAGAGTCTGTTATATCAGAAGGGATTATGGATTTTTATTGAAGTTAAATCAGAAGTTTTTACTTATGTAACCTTTCTTGCTTTAATTTGTTTTTACTCACGATCGTCAGAAGATTAAAGATTATATCTTTATGTAATTTAATTAAATTTAATCAGAATTCAGATATTTGAAGTATATTTATAAAAAAATTAATAAACCCATAAATAAAATTTATAAGTAATTATTACTTTAATAAACTATTATATACTATATATACAATATATTATAAAAAAAATAGCAAAAAATTTTTTAAATTAGTATTTATAATTTCTTAAAAAAAATTATCTAATTTATTAATTTGTTCTTTTATTTTATCTTTTAAAATCTTTTATTCAAAAACAAAAACTATATATAGATATTAATATATTTTACTTTTTTTTAAATAGAAATTAAATAAAAATTAAAAAATATAATATAATATTTTTATTAAAAATAAGAATATTAAATTAAATAATAAAATAAATAAATAATTTTAAGTAAAAAATTATTTTATAAATGTTAATTTAATTATACACAGTGAACCTGGATATAATGAAGTGGTCCGTTCCGACCTTTTTTTTCATTATATTCAGGTTTTTCATTATATTCAGATTTTTTTATTATATAATATATAGTAAAAAAAATTTCATTATATCCAATAAATTTAAATATAAAAAAATGATTTGGGTTTACATTTTTTCTTCATTAAAAGCAGGTTTTTCATTATATCCAGGTTTTTTTTATTATATATTACATATTAAAAAAAACTTCATTAAATCCAGGTTTCATTATATTCAGGTTCACTGTGTATTTAAATTTTAAATTTTATTTTATAATAATTTTTGCTAAATTATAAATATAAATATAATTAATGTTTTTTTTACAATATCTTATATATTTTAGATTTTTTTATTAATAAAAATTTAATTTAAAAAAATTGTTAAAAAAATTTTTTACAAATGATTTATTACTTTAATAAGCCATTTTATATATACTGTATATAAAAACAAATAAACAAATAAAAAAATTATTATTTATTTTAACTATTATTAATAATATTATTTCAATATTTCTTATAATTACTAATATATTTATTTTGTATTATTTGTGATTAATCAAGCTATTTAATTTCTATTGAAATAATTAATATTCAAGAACATTTAAGAATATTTTCAAAAAAATATTTTTAAAACTTTATACTCAAAGACTTTTAATTAAAAAAGATAAATTTGGAAATTATTTAATATATAAAATTTTATAAATCAATTATCTATATGAAGAAAACATAATTCCAAAAACACTTAAATCAAGTGATCAAAATTACAAAAAATCTAAAATAATAGATTTAAATATAAATATAAATATAATATTGGCATGTATAAGACCACAAGTGTATGGTTCAAATATAATAATTCAATAAAAACCATGGCATTGAGTGCCCGTTCACCTTTAAAAAAAAAATATATACTGTATATACTGTATATATAAACATAATATTGGTTATAGATCACATGTTTGTAATTCCGGTTTTTTTCTATACACTATTATTTTTTACAATGGACAGTTATAAACATTCTAATATTGTATAAAGATATTCATCGTGCTTCTGAGAGAATTAAGGGTGACACATAATTAGCACGAATTTTAAAGAAAATACGTAAATTAAATCAACGATTTGATATATTCAATTAGTCATCAGAAATAACCAACATAATGTTGGTAATATTTAATTAAAACCAATAAACTTAATTTCTTTAACTTGCTCTCGCTCGTAATTCTCGTTCCACTAGCATGGAAAAGTAGCCTATTTTTTCTCTGATGATAGTAAAAACGTTAAGCATCAAATCACGTAAATGCAAGTGATCAAATTTTTTCAAAATCCTGTACTCTCTTGGATGAGGAATCCACATAATCTACTCTGTATTGGCAATTTCATCAATCGAATCATTTGTTGAACACTGGCAGCTATAAGTGGATCGTTAAATAACATAGGTTTTATGAAATGTCTAGGGAACATTAGTGGACGAAGTGTGAATTAAGGAAATACTTCACACAATAACAAATAATAATAATAATCAAATTTTAAAAAAGGATACAAAAAGTCATATATCTGTTCCAATGCAAGGGTTGTGTCTCCACTATCTTCTATTCTCATATTTTGGGTAACATTATTTAATAATTGAAATATGTGTAACAAGTACTGTCGTCATAAGCCAAATAACAGAACGAAAATGAGTTAGGTAGTTAATCATCGAAAAAAAATAGAAATAATGAAATTTCGACTTACAGAAGACAACACTAATGAATTGGACTCCAATCTATGCATGACTGGTCCAACCAGTGCACATAGATAAAGTACTTGAATGTCGGTCCTAATATTTTCTTGCAAGGTTATAAGTTGGGTGAAGAGCATTTGTAAAACGCCAGTACTTGAGTAGTGTAGCAAACTGTGCATAAATGTGAGGAAACTGTTGGCCGCATTTGTCGTAAAATTATGAAGGTTGGAGCTATAGTCGTTAAATATGTAAGGAAACATTGTCGAGAATGGGTGTGTGGAATGCGAAAATGTCCATTGTTGCAACGGATCCGTCGAGTGATAAGGTGCAAATCCAAAAAATGTCAATGACAACGACTGAGGTTGAAGTGTCTAAAATAAAGAAATTGTCTAAGCTACTTATAAAATCAATTTCAAAAATAAAAAAAAATGAGATGAACCAAACCAGGTTATATTCCTGCGAAAACTCTCCAAGATGGGGATCTGTACTTATAAACATAACCATTTCGTCAAACATCTTATAAACGAATTCTTCTGTAGGCAGAAAAGAATATAACAATCCGGTGGCATGGATAACAGTTGGTGATAAGGAAACTTTCTTGCGACCATTTGTACGAATTATAATGTCCAAAGTTGCCTTCACTATATCCTCGGGCGATGTCGGAGTGGCAAGAACTTCTATACAAGCAATATGTAATGCGAGTACAACAGGGTTCGGGATTTCGCGAAAATGACGCTCAGGTAGTTTTGTGTCGGTCTTTGGAGCACATTTTTCTTGTGACATTGCTAAATAGATGCGTTCAAGTTAAACAATGGCGTAATGATTAGGTACAAAGGTAGGAAATAGTCCTACATTCGGCCAACTTGTGAAAAACCTTTTCAAAATAAGTAACTTCAAAAACATCTTCGGAGTACCCAAATTGTAACAATTCCGAATCTATATCATATTCATCATAATCTGAAAGAGTTCTCGATTAAAAAATAGTATTTTTCCACCGTACAAAAAAATTCCAATAAAAAATCATTACCAATTAATTTTATCAATCTCGTTGATACTGCAGGATCTCTCAAAGTAGGAGCAGTATAATAATAGCAAAAAAGGTCCTTTACGAAGGCAAGCGGAGTTTGATGAAATCTATAAAGGTTACAGTATTCATCCAATAACTTTACGAGCATCTCTTGCTCTCCAAATTCGATCAGCCTCCCAATGACTATGTCGAGTATTGGCAAGGATTTTCTGATTGAGCTAGTGTAATAAATCGGCATGTGCGTGGCCAATGGTAATTCCAGAGGTTTGCTAACTGTCTCATAACCATCCATCGCATATGCCTCATATTGAAAGTATTCAGGATATCTTTCAAGGTATTTCATCATCTTATCGTGGTGATCATCTTCAATCCAATACCTGTGTGAAAAACCCAAAGATATAAAATAAGAAACTCTCTCCGAGAACCCCTCGGATTTAAAGAGTAGATAGTCAAGTATCCCAAATGCAGTGTCGTTAGTTTCACTATGGCCTCTGACAAGTGCAAAAAGAACATGCTCAAATGCCAAAATTTGATATCTCCAAATCAATTCGTCAAGCATTTGGTAACACTGTTTAGGATTTTACAGAAAAAGTCAATTAAAAAAAGACGACGATGTTGTTCTTTGCATTCAAAGTGAATAATAATCAAATACCCACCACCTCCGCTGGATTCGCATTAGGGTCAGTTACAATCATTTCAATTATGAAATCTATTAATGTTATTGTATAAGATGCCATTCTGGAGGGCGGAAATTGGAGCAAGACCTTTCGATATACTGAAATTGCATGATAAAAAAAAAATGGTTACTCAATTAAAAAATGTGAGAATCAATGTGTACATGATAATTACTGCTCATTATATCAGGGTTTATGCTTTTTCGCATGCATCCAATCTTCCATAAAGAGCACAAAAATATCGGTTGATTATTTATCTGAGAAAAATGTTCTTTCGACACTTCTACGTCGTCAGGAGGAAGAGTTTGATCCAAGAACAGATTGATAAGATTTCCGACATGCATACCCGCACTCGCCTTTGAATATTAGAAATGACATTCAAAATCTTGTGCGTAAAATTACATGACAAATATATTCATTTATTTCTCTCATTTACTTCTTTATCCACAGAGGGAATAGCGCCGATTCCCGATTGTTGTGCAGCAAGGTAAGATCCCAATGGTTCAGGGAAAAACCCGAGGGTCGTGACCGACCAATGAAGTTGATGAGGATAGATGCTTGTTAATATACTTTCAATATCGTGAATATCATCCCGACCCCTGTAAGTGTAATTGAGATAACAGTCAAATTCCTGATGAACATTTATTAGAAGATGAAGAATACCCACCTTAATTTTATCAAACGTGCCAAAGTAAAGATCGCGTATCTCGCCAATAGTTCTGATTCTGGAAACCAATGCGGCTTTTCACGACTCGGATCAATTAGACTTTTAATGAACTTTGAATTATTTTGAATCATCTGTAGAAAAAAAAAAAAAGTAACTTGAGTATATGATTAAAAAACAGATGTGAAAAAGAAAGAAAGAAGCAACGAAATATACCATAATATGGATCGCAAATGTTTCGGCGTCATGATATGTCTGACGGTGATCCAAATAAGATACCGAGTATTTGACATGATGTAATAATTCGTATGCCTTTGCAGAATATTTTAGCAGCCTAAGAAACCGGTGACTGAAGATTTGCAGAATGGTATGTTGCCATCGCAAAGAAGTTTCGGTTAAGGGAGTACCTCCTTCGGCAAAACTTTTGGTATGCTTATCAATACGTTTCAGTTTCTCTAATATTTCCTTGACCATTAGTTCCAACCTGTAGACGGAATGTGTTGAACAAAATTTTCAGAAATTTTATCGATACAGCAATTGGAAGGTATGAAAATAATAAAACTTACGACCAAGGTGAACTATAAACAATTTTGTAAACGACGTCCAAAAGGTAGGGTGACACACAATTTATATTTTGCTCATCATCGGTATTAGATTTTGTGAAGGCTTCTCCATCAAGCATCATCTTATAGATAAGTTGTGAAAGTCTATCCACAAAAAAAGATAAATAAAAAATAAATAAATAAAATTTACAAATTTACAAATATTAAATTAAATCGTATACCTGTGTTTATTATAGACATTAATGAAATCCAAAAGTCTATAATTAATATTTCCACCTTTCAAAAATTTTGTTTCGGGAAATCCGAGTTTCCCACTTTCTATGCGCCGATCCGGAACCAAATATACGTAAAGTATATCGGCTATTAAATTTTTAAGGCATTGACTGCAGATAGCGACCTTGACCATATCCTGGATAGGCAAATCGCGGAAAAGACCGTGATCTACAACCTTTGCTAGGGAAGAGATTAGATAACTTTTAGTGCACATCAGAGTTCCTCAGTTCTCCTCTTTCTTTTTAGAAATGAATAAATAGGCGTACTTTTATAGTTTGTTGATTGTTCCTGTAACCTATGAAGGGTTGTCATGTAATGCAGCGCAGCTACAATCTGAGGGTGGCGCTGTTTAAGGCTATTTCTATCACGAATATTCATTCGTTGCAAATTTATCTAAAGATATCTAGGAATTATTAATGACGAATAACGTAAAATGATCTGTGTATGAACCTCATATACTCACTGCGCATTGTAAGGATAAATCTCGCAAATAAAAGGCATCTTTGGACCTGGTCTGTGAATCATTGTATAATTGAATGAGCATGCTAAACAAACTTTCATCAGTTTTCATATCCTCTGCGATGACTTGTTCTTCAATCTTTTCAATGTCTGGAAATGCATTAAGTTATGGAACATCAATTCGTCATCATGAATAAAAAAGTTTTCTGATTTCGCCGGTGTAAGGATACGAAATAGTTGCAATAACAACCAAATTAATGTGTTATCTTTAGGAATGGTGTGTCCACGTCCAATAAAGTGACCTCCGTGTTTTGGATAAACCATATGATAAAATTCGGACAGAGTTTCTTCATATTTCATATTCCTAAATTACGAACTGAAATTCAAAAGGTACCGCTTCACAACTACATAGTAAAAACAGAATAACTTACTCGGATGTCACCAAGCCATACAATTGATCACCAAGTTCAATAATTAACTCCCAGAAGTCCAAATTGTCGGGTATCAAAATTTCATCATTTGAAATTTGGTCTGGCGTTTAAGAATAAATTAGTAAAGAAAGAATTCAGTAAAAATAATGACATAATACAATTGACGTTATAAAAAATGCCTATTATTATTTCGTTAAAATCCGACTGCTTTTGCACGGAGATAATGATATCATGTACTTTTGAAAAGAAAGCTTTGCACAGTGGTTCCGTTCCAATGGAATGCCTAGATTTCTCCGCCTTCATTAGCACTCGAATCTCTTCGATTGGTGCACGTTGAAATAGCATATCACGAAATCTAGTGGTAACAGTGGAGACATGCCCTTCTTCGATAAATAATTCCTATGAGAAAGATCAAGTTGTTCGTAAACTGTGCATTATCATTTTTTCAAAAGCAATATAAATGACCCACATAATCACAGAAAAATGATCGATGACTTTCTAAACTAGTCACATCCTCATACTCATGTTGCCGACTAAATAAAATTGAAAATGCATATAAAAAAGAAACCCTAATTTTTTATTCATTTTAATAAGAACATTGATCAAATGATGAACCTGTATTGTGATATTAACAGCCAGGAAGCGTCTAATAAGAAGGAAAAAAAATAAGTTTTTTTTACGAATTATTATTAAATGTTTATTGAAGCGAAAAATTTTTTTATTTTATCAGAATGGCATACCAGGTGGAATCATCAAAAACGCGAGTCGCTTACGACGGTGTGATAATTCATTGACAAAATTTTCCATCGACCAATGTACATGCAAGAAATTTCCCTGAGCGGTCGGTCCGTATACATTCTCTAGCTATTATAGGTTTTTAAAAAGTTACCAATAACTTCTCATGAAAAACTGCTACTACAAGTAATGATAAAAATATGCGTGTTCCTTGCTCACCTCTTCAATAATCTGATAGTGAGGCACACATCCCACCCCTCCACAACCTTTTCCGGTCAAAAGGGCATCAATCATCTGACGACCTATATTTATGAATTCGACATCCTTTTCATCAAGGTTTGGCGGAAGATCGTTAATATGCTTTAAAATCGTTTTAACGATTTCAACGGCCAATTTTGGTTCAACGGAATTAATGTCCATCATAGATCTCGGATATTGCTTTAAAATGGTAAGCATGAATGAAAATATGCCTATTCGTAACTCTGGCGAGGAGTTGGCGATGAG